TATAATAGTCATATGAAGGTGGACTAAAGCATGAGAAGCTCGACCGTTCCGTTGATCATGTTGACCTCATTGTTTGCAGGTCGGCCAGTTTCAATATGTATTGCCTACACTAATAACTGTTTGTTATATCTTCAAGGGAAGACAATAACCCAACATATATAGTACTGTTGTTGCCTTTCGTGGTTTACGTGAAGAATGTTAGAGTGTGGTATAAGATCGAGCATAACCTTCTCTCAATAATTCGAGTTATTGGGACCAATTGGTTTATAACATAGTATCAGAGCTGGTTTAATCAAGTGGTTGTGTGTTCGAATCTCCACGACCCCAATATTAACAGTTGATTAAAACACAATATATGATGGCCCGGTGCAAACTTCAAACCTAAGGATTTCACATAAAAGTCAAATGTCACGTGGGACAAAATTTTCACAGTTACGAATGGACAAACAAACTTTGGTATGTTTCCATGAGCATTATGACCATCACATGTTCACATGTGAGAAAATGTGTAAACTTACCAAACTCATGTAATTTTCTCGCTGAATACAAATTGGAGGTGATTCTAGATGATTTATGTAATTGTACTGTGGAAAGGAGAGAAAAGAAGTTTCTTGTTTCGCGACCACACGGCGAATGCGCAAGTAGAATGGTCATGGGTTGTGTTTACTGGACAAAGGGTACTATTAAATCAGAATTATTTTTGTTGGGCATTTCTGCCTAAACTATCCGGTTAAATATCTATTGGTTAAATAACACATTTGGTTATGGTGTTTAACAATTTTGCTTCACGCTTATCATTAATTTTTTAATAAGATTAATGATAACTCACATTACAATTTAATTTCACAATTAATATTAATCGTCCAACTTTGTCAAGTCTAAATTGACCATAGTTAGTAAATACTCCGTTTAATACACGTATATGTACCCGTACGTACTTTATTCGTTTAAAACTTCCGTATCCGTATTATTGTCAAGCCGTTTCATTAGTTTCCGTTCATTTGACGGCTCCCGTACTAAACACGTATAAAATCCGTATAACACGTTTAATATTCGTATTTAATGAAATAAATTAATAACTTTACTAATTTTTACATATTTATTTATTTATAAAAATAATTAATTTTATATATTTATGACTACTAACGTACTATTAAACGTAATATTAGCTAAGATATGAAGTATAATACCCGTACGTATTTTATACGTAACTTTCCTGTACCGTATTTTACTAACTATGAAATTGACCGTTCAACTCTTATATAGTTATCACTAATTATTTATATTATCAAAATCAATTATGTAGTGTTTTCCGGCGAGGAAAAACTTGTGTTTGAACACAATGAATGCACCTTGACTTCTTGAACAACGACAATCAACACGGTTCAAAAAATAACATACATATCAAAATAACATACATATCAAAATTAACACAAAAAGTATCATGATGATATAGACGAGAAATATACATTAATATATAATGACTAAGGAAGTGGTGCTAAGTATTGCATAAATAACATGGTTTTAATGATGGGAATGAGTCATTAAGGGTACAGTCAGGTTTTAATGGTGCTAGTATTGCATAAATTACAAGTTTGATCCGCATTGACAAGACAAGATTGGTCATGGTAGAGGTGGATTGAGTTGTCATCCGTACAAGGAAGTACTCTTGAAGATGTTTTCATCCAAACAAAAAAGAAAACTTGAGAATCATAGTGGGTTATACTCAAAGACAACAACAGAATTCAAGCATATGCTCAATTAAAAAGAGCTAGGTTTGTTTGTTTTGAATGAATGGATTGGAAGACGTTATCCATATATTATTGTAAAGAGTTTATAAAGAAGTAATTCACATCCTAAATTGTAAACTATCGGTATACGTAACCTTCTATAAGTCGGAATCAATAAGGTGTATAAAATGATTCGATGTTGAAGCCAGCCCGCAGTTTCTTTTTCCACGCTTTCTTTCTAGATAGTTAGTTGTACTAAGACTCGTCTCTTCCTAATTCCGTCATCAATAACGGCAGCAATCGTGGGATAGTTGCCTTATCTAGAATTTCCTCCAAGCTAAGTCCCAATGGACTTTTCCAAAGAGTGTCAATCTATATTTCTTTGAGGTGTCAATGTGATCCAAAGAGTCGTGCATGAAAAGTGGTAAACTATGGATGGCAACTCTTCCGCGTCTAATATTAATTGGATGGAACCTTCAGAAAAATTCTCAACAAACTATGGGTGGCCATGAACGAGAAATGCAGCTCTTAGAAAGAATATATATATATATATATATATATATATATATATATATATATATATATATATAAAGTTTGCCATGTCATCTGTTACCTTTCGCCTCTGCTATAAACTGCTACGTTGGTGTCCTTGTTTTCCTCTCTGGGGTTTTTTCGCCTTTTTTATATGTTTAATGAGATTTGTTGTGTGGTTTCACATATTTTTGTATGATTCAAGATATTTGTTGTGTAGTTTGTAATTTTTATGAGTGTACTAGTATGATTTAGAAAACTTGTCAGCTTTATGAAATTTATGGTATACTTTATCAATTTTGTGATGTGGTGAGTTTTGTAGTATACTTTATGTGTTTTTTTTGTATATGATACACGATTGAACTTCTCCCAACAACTTGAGTTATTGGGATCAACTGGTTTATGACATGGTTTGTCCTGTTTGTGGCCTAGTCTGAATTTTATTGTATGTTTCATGATAATTGTGATCAGCTTTACGAATTTTTGGTCTGCTTCAAAAAACTTGTGGCCAATTTTGATTATTCTGGTATGCTTTATGAGTTTTTTTTTTTTTTTTTGTGATGTGGTGAGCTTCTTATATGCTTTATGCATTATGAGCTTTCTAGTATACTTTATGTGTTTTGTGGCGTGGTTTGTCGTTCCATTTATAAAAATATCCAAAATTATAATTAAAAATGATACAAATTGATTAAAAATAGCGAAAATAAAAAACATTAACCTCACCATTTAGATCTTGACCTCGTTTAAGAAAAAGTTTAACTAATTATACACATTACAAAATCAAGAATTATACGCCCCATCCTATCCCATTTACCACCTCTTAAACTTGGTGACCAAGGCTTATCCGTCAAAGGGGAAAAGAAAGGGCAAAGTTTATTTTCGTCGTAGGATAGGGTTAGTAATCATTAGTTACTGACCTATAAGTAATTAAATCTAGACCTTTAGATCTAAGCAGGTCCAAAAAATTCAGATCTAAAGGTTGTCAATTAAAGGCATTTTATTTTCCCTAGTTTTCTTAATCAGCTCTTGTCTTCTTCGTTCTAACTCGGATTTCAATTTTTTTTCACAGATGGAACAAGTTCGTTGTGCGCTACAGAATGAGATCAATTTTCAATATATTTCGAGAAACTTTTTTTTATCAACTACATACCATATGATAACTTCTTCATTTTTAAGTCGTTTTTGAAAACATTTGCTCAGAAGGAACGTGTTCATCATGATCTATTGGATCTATAAACTTTTGGGTGAAAAAATATATTGGATAAAAAATTACCATACTTTACCACTATGGTATGTGGGTGGTAACTTGTGGTAACTTGTAGTAAACAATGATGAAAGTCGTAAATGACAATTAGTATACCCTTATTATTAGGGGTGGAAATTGGGGTGGGTGTGGTTACCCGCCCCACATTTTGCGGGTAACCACATCCACAAATATAGAATTATGCTACCCATAACCCACCTCGTAGTGGTTAACCACTATCCGCTGTGGGTTGGTGCGGGTTGGTTGTGGATATCCACAAAAATTTCACATTAAAAATAATAATATGGTAATTAAATAGTGATGTTGTGTTTCTTCTCACACAAAAACATACATACAAGAAAGTTAATACAGTGTTAAATAAATTATAAATCTCGAATATAATAGGTTAGTTAGTGTAAATTCAAACGAGATGGATTTGGAAAGAGATTTGAAGATACGAAGAGGCGGAGTGATATGTTACTCGACTAACATCGTTGCATGTCACGACTCCTCCGATGACAACAACAACAAAACACAAAAGTGGCTCGATAAGTGGAGGCGCCCGCTTTTAATGAATCGATGATTCTTCACTCTCGATAATAGTCTTGTATTGTTTGTAGTTGTTTGCATGTTGTGTTGTTCGTGAGTTCGTGGATTAATGGAGATGAGTTTGGGTATCAGACTAATCTTTATCGATTATTCTCCTCTTTTAACGAATCGATTAATTTATCTGACTATACTTATGGACTTGGTTTTGTTATACAATAAACATATAGCACAGGGACAATGCTTATTTAATAAAAGTATCTCACATGAACATTGCGTATTGACTTGGTTTTGTTTTATAGAATAAGTGCATATTTGATTTCGGTAGCTACGTTAATTCTTAGTCTTCCAAGTTTCACAAACTAATATAACTAAAGTGGTTAATGTGGGTTACAAAGTATTTTAAAAAAATAAATATAATTAATGTGGGTTTTGTGGGTAAACCGGTGTGGGTAGAGGTTAACCATCAACCACAAAAATCAATATTTTGATACCCACACCCAACCCGCTATCCACAAATTGTGGATATGGGTATCTACAAAGTGTGCAGTTTGGTGCGGTTTGCGGGTTATCCGCAACCCGCAAACCAAACTTACACCCCTACTTATTATCATGTAACCTTCTTACCATATTGGTAGCGGCGGATCTGGGGCTGGGCCAACCCGGGCCACGGCCCAGCTCTCCGTCGGATACAGAGCTAGTATAGTGCTTACAAATTTTTCGATTTTAGGTATTCGGCCCAGTACTATTAAAAAGTCGGTCGAGTATTATTTGATAGTAGAATTTGTGTAGCTAGAAAAGTGGTCTAGATAAACATATGCAAACAACTATTCCCAATTTAGCATAGAAATTCTAGCCTGAATGATTTTCATTTGAAAAAAAACAATAAAACCTAAATGTCTAAAACGTGAAAGACCGTATAAAGTTTCATTGAAATAAGAAAACCCTCTAAACAAAGTGATTTTTTTTTATTCGTCTAGTGGTTGACCTTGCCCGTTTAAGCAATGAAATATGTGAAAACTAATTTGCGCAACAAAATGCACGATGAATTTTTCATTGATTGCATAGCTATTTTATTTGTGAGAGTATGCTATAGATACGGATGGAGATTATATTATTGATGGGATTTGCCAAATTAAAAAAACCTTCTATTATAATTGGCATTGTAATTAATGAAACTATAGTTATTATATTTTTTTGGGTAAATACAATTTATTAACCAAACCTTTTAGACTTTCCAAATTATTAGACAAACCTTTCGAAATATAAAATATTAGCTAAATCTTTTGTAAAGCATCAAAATATTAGTCATTTGTCTGTTATCGTTGGTAATTTTATAACTAATTTCTCATTTGAAATACTAAATTTGGGAATGTTAACTATTTTTGTTTACGACATCTAATATTATATTCAAATGCGGCCCAGTGCTTTACTATGTTATGGATCTGCCTCTGCATATTGGTATGTTCATACCATCATGGTACACTTTCTTACCATATGGTATTAAATAAGAGCATAAGAGCATACCATATGGTAATGATTGGTAAAAAATTATTCAATTTTTTTTTGTACTAAAAATATATCAAAGTTGATATCGAGCACATTTAATCTTATTTGTCTGTGAAAAAAAATTAAATTTTGACTCAAAACGAGAGAAAAATTGTCCGTTAAAAATTAAAGGGAATTAATAAAAGACTTTCAAAGGAAGAGAATATACTTATGTCATGCTGATGTGGACAAAATCAGCGGATAAAAAAAGTAAAACTAATGAAGCCGTTACACAGCTATTAAGCTCGCAGTTCACGCTGCTTAACCATCTCAATGCCACCTCATCCCGCACATTTTTTTTTACCTCCGTTCCTCTTTTACCCCTATCCTACCTAGTACCTACCTTCCTTCCAAAGTACCTAGTTCGAACAAGGTAAAACAACAAACGGCGACACGCTCGGTAAAAAGGTAAAAACACACTGATTCATTCCACTATCTAACACTTTCGCACCGACTCCGTCTCTCACTCACTCTAAACCAGGCAAAGGGCCAAAACATAGCCAACACCCAAATTTCTCCTCCACCGCCACGGCACGGCAGCAATGGATGGCCGATCAACCACCCGAATTTCCATCCAAATCCCCAAACCCGACAGCCGATTATCAGTTCAGCACCAGGGCGAGGATCACACCCCCGCGGCGCTGCTTCCGATTGAGCCGCCCAATCAAATCGTCTGCTCCCTCGCCGCCGCCACCGCACATTCCTCGTCGTCCCCGTCCCCGCGTTTCCAGTTACCCGAAGGCTGGATCATCGAGGAGCGACCCCGTCGGACAATTCTTCCTGGAGGAACCCTCGCCGACAAGGTGCTTCCCTCCCTCCCTCCTTTTAACTTTCCTATGGTAAAGTCGCGTCCTTTGACTCTCTGGGAAGCGCAACGGTGGTATATAAGCTAACCAAACTGGTATTTTTGAGAAACTCTTGTTGTAGACCCAAAGCCACTAAGCCAGGAGCTTTCAGATTGAGAAATGGGGGTTTTCTTTGTGCAGTATTACATCGAGCCAGGGACTGGAGGAAAGCGGTTTCGTTCACTATCAGCTGTAAAAAGATACCTTACGCAAGGGGAAGAATGTGTAGCTAACCGCAGGGCAATCAAGCAGAGATATGAGCAGAACAATGTGAGTTTCAGTAATGGGGTATTAGGATGAAAGATGATTTCAAACCCTTTGTTAAGTCTTGAAGTGCATTGTAGTAAATTCTATTCTTTTTCTTCTGTCGTTAGATGCAAATTGTTCCTAGTATCTCGGACGGCAGCTCGCAACTGGGTCTACCTTGTGGTTGGCTTGTGGAGTCGAGGCCAAGGAGGGATGCAAGTAGGTTTGACAAGGTACTACTGCTCTGTAATCATTTTCAACTTCTTTCATCTTGATGGAGGTCAGTTATCAAGGATAATTGTTAACTGGTAAGGTCTCACAATCTATGCTGATAAACTGACTATAGGAAGGGTATCTAGTTTGTTATGTTGTAATGCCAGGCCAAGATCCTAAGATCATCTATTGCTTGTTATCTCGTGGTCAAATCAACCTTCTGGAGAGTATAATGTTGAGTGACAACTGATAATAATTGCATTGGGTGATGTAATGATTATTAGTTTTACTCGTACTTCTTTACATAGTTCAATTCAATTTGTTATGTGGAGAATTTATATTTAATTAGTATATATCAGAGATGTTAAAAAGCATGGTTCCACTCTCACATGCTTGATTAAATATATTCAAAGTGTCGAGTGAAGTTAACGTCCTAAAAAGCATTGTAGTCTGGTGGCATCTGGGATATTGTTGAACTGCACTACTTTACGGGTTGGGTTCAAGTGCTCATGACTATATCTGCCCGCTCCTTTAGCAAAGAACTCCTAGGGTGTTGAAGAGCATGGACCGGTTACCGGAAGTTTGCCATCCCTAGGTGCTAATGGAAAACCTTCCTGTTTAGTTCCCATGCTTCTCTTGCATGGATAGTGACACCATCTGCCAAGTGGCAAGTATCTTAAGAATTAACTGTATACATAAGTGTTTAGAAACTCTTCTAGTAGACTGAATGTTCGAAGCTAGGTTGAGAACTGGTATTCCTTTGTGCAGTATTACATTGAGCCAGGGACTGGAAGGCGGTTCCGTTCCCTACCATCTGTACAGAGACACATAACAGGAGGTAAAGAAGCTGCAAAGCCAAAGATGATCAAGCCAAGATCTGACCAGGACAATGTGAGTTGACACACTGTGTTATCAAACTTGTAAAACTTGCAAGTTATAACTGCATATTGTAATTTAACCATTTTTTTCTGTTTGCAGATGCAAATTGTTCCCATTGTCACCGATATCAGCTCGGAAATGGGTCTACCATACGGTTGGCTTGTTGAGTTAAGGAGACGTAGGGATGGAAGTAAATATGACAGGGTACTACTGCTCTTGACTCCATTCCAGCTCTATCATCTTTGTATGTGTATTTTTGGTTGACCTCTGTTCTGAACGATATGTGCTAGGCAAAGGTCAGAACTTTCTCTATTTTTTTTATTACCAGTGACCAAAAAATGAGAGGTTTCATTTTATTATTATTCTGCAGTATTACATTGAGCCAGGAACTGGACGGAAGTTCCGATCTCTGGTGTCTGCTCAGAGACACATCACACAAGACGACGACCTTACAGCTACACTCAAGGCTATAATATCAGTCGATGATTATTCTACTGTGAGTGAGGGTACACATATAGGCTTTGTTGTCAATCTTCCTTACATACTCATTTCTGTGTGCTCTGGTTAATGCTGGACTTGTATATTGCTGCTCTTCAGGGGAATACGTTCACTGGGAAGCTGAAAATCAAACGCTTAGCAGATGTAGGAAACAATGACGCACTACCCATGCCACAGCATTCAGACACCAAACCCCTGGTGAGACCAAACTTAAAAGCACTAGCATGTTATACTCAGTTGTTTGTTTACTCTTTGCAGCATATAAAATGTTATGGCTATTTGACGAAACAGGTGGATGTGAAGGAGACCGGAGCACTGAGAAGACCCGGTCTTCCCACATCACCAACACGAGTGAAGTGGGTTTTCGATGGTCAGGGCGAAAATACTTGGAGACCTTCCATCGATGACTCTCTGGTGCCTAATTCTGAAATACACGAGTGGTCCGAAGCATTTGTGATGAGCATGGACTCTCAATGACCATATTTTGAAGAATTTCTAGCGGGAAAATGTGGTGGAGGTAAGTGGAATTCTTCCCAAGACGTTTTCGTGATAGCTGTTGCTCATGTGCTGTTCTTTTTCTTCAAGTTTAGTATCATTAAGTCGAATGCATTTGCAGTCTGTCTTCCCTCTCTCGACATTTTATAATTACTTAGTTTCCAACTTCTTGCATGCAGGCGGTGGTGAAAAATGCAGAGATTACCTCCCCTCTCCCCTCGTTGTTTGTCCAGTTTTCAGGAAGCGATGACTTTGGTTAGATCCGAATGGTTCGACTTTGTACAGTTTTGGACAGAAGATGGCTTACCTCGGGTGTATTAAAAGGAATAACGCGTTCCTGCTCCAACTGACTGCAGAGATGCTATTAGCCACTACCTCTACTTGCAACTCCCTTAATTATTCATTCCCGCAGCTCGCAATGTATTGTGATCTTGAACTTTCAGGTGCGAGCAAGACAAATAATTAAGCAAATGACAGAAATTCCATCTTAGCTCGCAATGTCTTACTCTTGCCTACCTTTCTTTTACAAAGCTGAGTAATAAGGAGGAAAGCAAAAGACCTCTTTGCTCCTTCATGGTCTTCCTTCATCCTTTTCCCCCTTCTTTTTGTGCCATAGATCTTCCTTCTTTCCTCCTTATTTCTCTCTATTCGTCTATAATGGTCCATGAAACCGTACCGGAGACCGTACCGGAAAAGTCAGCGATAGGGTATTTTATGACAAAATCGTGGTTTAATCGTAGTTTAACCGTTAGTACGTTAAATACCGCTTATCGGTTTAGCCTCCGATACTGGTATTTTGTAGTTGAACCGTCGGTACAGTACGGTTTAATGGACCATAGTACTTTAAAGAAGCAAAAATCTCCTTGGAACCGCCCAACTCGATTGCAACTCGCAACCCCAAGGTATTTGGAGTGGAAATTGGAGCTTGCAAAACCAATGGCAGGGATAATCATATCGCTTTCTCCTTCACTCACAATGAGTTATTTGGACGCAAATAATTCGTTTGGCAACGTTTTACTGAAAGGAGTTATTTGGACAGTGAGTTATTTACAAATAACTCAGAACGAGTTATTTGAAATAACTTATACCCATGTGTTATTTAGAAATAACTCGTTTTATCACTCTGCTTTTACCAAATGCCACATGTCAAAACCACATTTGCATGGTTCAACCAAACGAGATACTTTATTTCAATTACCACTGAAATCAGTGGCGGATTCAGAAAATTTTCACAGGGGTGTCCTCTTCAAAAATTAAATTTAATTATATAATAAATTAAATAATTCGTATATTAAAAATATCATACTTGTATAATTTGTATAAATTTTTTATTAAATAATAAATTAAAATTCATATTTTGAAAAAAAATATAAATAAACTCCTTGTCTGCACTGTTAAAAAAAATCTACATATCCTACTAGACAATACTTCACGAACTTATCACATATTCGATTTCTAACCTTGTTCTTGATGTAGATCAAAGTAGAAAAAACTCTTTCAACACTTGCCGTGTAACCATAAAATCAATTCAAAATTAAGGGTAGCGTGTACGTAGTTTAATTATTAGGTATTGAAAATAGTTGGGGGATAAAGAAATAGCGTTTTACTGTTGCATGATGTTTAAAATAGAATAACAAATGAGTAACAACATAATTAGAATATGTTTGATAATAGTAGTGTCCTATGTTGGAAGAACACAGACTACCACTTATATTTTGTTAATCATAAGCAAACTATTATCGTGGGTAGGATAATCATTTTTTCAAAGGTTAGGGTGTCCCTGATTACCAATTATATTTTGTATGCCCATACGAAACTACTACCAAAGGTTAGATAATCTTTTCCCAAATTTTAGGGGTGTCCCGGGACACCCCTAGAGGCCCATGTATCCGCCCCTGACTGAAATAATACTGAAATATCACATGAACAAGAAATGAGTTATTTGACTCTACAAATACCATATTGACAATTAACCCATCCATAGAATTTGTTACCACATTGACTTGTTAACCTGTGAGTACTCCATGGTCATTAAAGCACACCCAGAATCCTCTTTACTTCCAGAGGGCTGGCTGTTTCGAAAATGAATATGCGGTCACCAAGAAGCAATGAGTAAGTAGTAGGCGTGTTTGCTTAAACTTAATGCCCTTCCGAAATCGCCTTCTCGACGACTAATGTCAAAAGTGTTGGGAGAAAACAATGAAGAGGAAAGGGGAATCAGAACCCTTTGGCGAGTTCCCCTCGCGGGCGAGAAGAAATGCTCAATTTCACCATTAAAGAGAATGGAGTAGCGAACGGGATCGTAGCTACAATTCATTTGAACCAAGTCAGAGCAAACCGATACATCCTCAAAAGAACATAAAGGCACTCCCAATCCAGCCTCAGTTTCAAAACCAAATGAGTATCATTCCAACCTTGATGCATAACACTATTTAGAGAAGGAAAAAAAAAAATGCCCTGTCAGGTACTACAAAAACGATGAACAAACCGGGCAAAAGTTCCTGAAAATATTTAACAGTGTAAACGCCAAAATTAGCTGTTTGGGGGAACAGATAAATTGTGTACAGTCGCACGGTTTTAGCGGCCAGTTTTGGTGTTGAGTAAATGCTGAGACAGAATATGGTTTGTACGCCTTAACAAATTAATTCTGAGAAAATTTCAGGTCAAATTACTTGAACTAGAAGCAACCTATGAGCTTGCATCTCTATACGAATGTCCTACCAACTAATCCTGACTCCATCTGGATTGCTCAAGGAACGCACTTCGGCCAAGGTTATGTACAATTCATTGTTTTCTTTTATCCATAGTCGACCAGATCATCACGGTAGCCGTCTCTGGGACAGGTAAAGAGACAGTTCGTCTCTCATTTCTGCACCTTTCACTTCAACTGACCCACAAATCTGCTGCGTATAGCCGGAGTCATGCTCCTCCGACAAGGGAATTGCAGCCTGAACCTCATCTTGCATGTCAATAGCAATGTTGTGAAGCAAGCAGCACACCAGAACGAACCTCGGCATCCTATGCTTATCTGGTCTCCACATTTGCCCTCTGATGATCTTCCACGTCTCCTTCAGCCTCGCTAGTGCTCTTTGAGCCACTAGCCGGGTACCCAAATGTCGTTTATTGAACTCAGCTCTCGACTCGGAGAGCTCTTTCTCGTAGGGAACCATGAGATATGGCAGCAGAGGGAACCCTGAATCCCCTATTATGTACTCCCTTATCTCTGATGAGCCTTCTTTAGAAAGCTGCTGCACCTTCTTCCCATTTAGCCTCTCCCCATTTTCACACAGCTTGTGGAAGGTTGAGTTCTGAAACACTACCCAATCCTCCATATTCCCTGGCCATCCAGTAACTATGGCCAAAAACCTCATCTCGGGATCCACAATCGCCTGCAACACCATGCTGTAGTTCTTCTCACGATCGAGCCATACATTGCTGGTGGGATCTGATGTGGACAGGAGCATAGTAATGTGGGTTGTATCAACCACGCCACAGCAATTGGGAAGGCCTTGCAATTTCTGGAACTTCGATTTTATTTCAGCCATTTCCAGCTCAGTCGATGGCCATCTGAGATGGTGAAGCGCTCGTTGTTCAAGAGCCTCTACAAACCGCCAAGTAACTTGGGAGACGGTCGAGTGGTTCAACCCGAATGAATCGGCAACCGCTGCTAGTGAATCGCCAGTGCCAAGCCTCCTCAAAGCTACTGCTACTTGATCATGTAAAGACAGTAGTCTTCCGTTTAGAAATGTGAATTCCCTTGACTTGGAAGTCAAGTCTTCCCTCACGAGCGAACATATGTAGGTGAAAGTTTTCCTGGAAATCCTGAAAATGAGTTCGAACTTGTCCAGACTTTTCGAAGGAGATTGATGACCACCTTCTGCAGGTTTGCCATGAAAAGAGAAGACATTAATTGCTATTCTATTATATGCATAACATTCTAGTTTCTTTTACATTGACCATATTTTTATTGCAGTAATTTGCAATATACATTGCCAAGCATATTTCCAATCAATAAGAGGTATAAAGCATTAAGTAAATCAACCGTGTAGCTGAATCATATAATTCTGTAAAATAAAGCATACCCATATTTTTATTGACATGAATATTCTTACTAACTGGTTTTTTTTTTTTTTACATACTTTCGTATGGAAAACAAGCACATCCAGAAAGGACATTTAGTGGGTAAAGCATCAGTAGGCATAGTTTAGTTTGCGGATGCCACCTTGAACTAACTCTATATGGCCACAAGATGGCAACAGCCAACGGTGCCCAAACATAAGGTAATACATCGGCAGGCTCAACCTTCACAGTCACACCAAGGAGAGAATCTAACAGAAACATCAACTACTAAGCATTGTGAACTACTGACATTGAAGTTATAGAAACTATTATAATTGCAATATCATGACCCTCTTTGCACCTTAAAACCACAATGTAGAAAAGTGTCTGTCATGGGAGTGTTCAACCTAATTTTCAGTTCAGATAACACTACCTCAACAGGCTGCACAAATCTTAAGAATGAAGTCTTAATCTAAGATCCAAAAAAGTATGTTTGGAGTAATTTGAATGGTTTATAAATCGAACAGTTACAAGCCATGTAGCTACTCTGAAAGCTTACAGCGGAGAATGCAAGTAAACTCAGAAGCTAAAGATGTTAATAGGATGATAAATACTAAACAATCCAGCAAGAATTCTGCATTTTCAAGTATCAGGTTCTAACATATACAACAAAGATGTAGGATTCTGACGTACTAGTAACCAAGAGTTCCTTAGCATATCGAGGAACACAAACTTAAAAATTCAGAAACCAAATTATATTGAACACACCAGAGTACCCAGAATCATTCCAAATAAAACGAGGACGAGTTTTCTCATCAAGATCAGGGGCAACGCATATTGGTACAGAATTCTTGTGTTATCCTTTCAGCCCATTTCTCGCCAAATACATGCCTCTATTCCTCACCCCATTCTACTTACAGTCCTGACTGTTCTGATCCTACATTGTATTAAACACTACAACTTGCAATCTGCCAAGTAAAAAGCAGGTTAATCCATTATTAGTCCCAGAACAAAAATATAAGCAAAGGGAAAACAGCATCCCTGATCAGTACAATGACCTGCCAGACAAATCTATTATCACAATCCAATTACCGTTCCATAGATGAGATGTACAAAATATCAAAACCCTACATTTGACACCAAAGCCTACACAAGCTCCCAAATGAAAATGTCAAAGCTACAGGACAGAAAGATTCAAACTCTGAAAATATGCATTATACAGTCCCTGGCTGGATTAGCAGCAGAAAACGATCAAGAACCACAATACCAGCAGGAGTCAGAAAATCGCATAACACACAAACAAGAAGCTAGTACCACAAAAACAAAGAGACCGTAGCAGGAACAATATAATTTTATTTTCTGGAGGGTGATGCAGGGTGAAGAGATAGAAGAACAAACCATGAAGCCTTCTGGAGAAGTCATCCCACCAATCCAAAGAGCGTTCAGAAGCAGCTGAGCCATAACCATTCTCCTCTGCCTTCTTATCGGCTCTTTTCCTCTTTCTGTTCCCTCGTATGGGTCCCATATTCGCCCCCAACGAACGGCTCCCAAACCCAATTGAGAAAACACTTGTTAAAACTCGGCCGAGTTTGCACAACCCAACTCACTGCCACCACACCCCATCAAAACAGATAAAAGGAGCAAGCAAATATGATTACAAATAGGCAAAGCACAATACCCATTTCAAAGATAAAGCACGAGACAGAGAGCAGAAGAAGGCGGAATATAAGAAGGGAACAAAAGAGAAGAAGCGGAAAGGGAACTTACCGTGAAAGGTCAGTTTAACGAGACAGAGAGAAAGAGATACCACCAGGTCGAGTCAATGAAAGAAGGAAGGAGGAAGAGCTGGAGGTGGGCAGTCGTGACATGCAAATACTTAGAAGGCAAAAATAAAATTTTGGGGGCCAAAGCGACAAAGTTAGTTGCAGTCGCAGAGAGTAGTGGGTGTCTCTCCCGCAGAGAGAGAGAGAGGGAGCAGTGTGTGTGTCTATTGTGTGCTTATTTGAAGCATGCAGATAAATAAGAACCGAAAGAAAAAAGAGAAGGAACAGCGAGCAATAAGCAGTAAATGGTAGATAGGAATGGAAGGGCCCAACGAGAGAGACGAAAGGGAGGAGAAGGAGAAAAGCTTTGGGGAAGGGAGGGGAGGGTTGGTCTTTCGTTTTGTTTTAGACAATGTGGGTGGTTAGAGGACTGGGGAAAGCTTTAATTGGGGGTTTGTTTTTTCTTAAATAAGGGGGTAAAAAGCAAAATAATTGATTCATTGGGAGGAAAAGAAAAGGACGTTTGATGAATGATGATGGAAAGATGAGATGGCAAATTGGCAATACAATAAGTAGTTGATTCATGGGTTATGAATTGTTCATTTTAGAGGATGATTATTATTGAGTTTCATTTCATTCTCGAATTATAATTTATCATATTTTTAATTCCCGTAAAATTTAGGTGATTGTATTAGTTTACACATCCTGTCATTTTATATGTATTGTTTGTTGTTGCATCTAGTTGTTCATTCTCTATTCCTTAATATTGTGTGAAATTCTGCTAGGTGCATGTGGTTATTGGGTTATAGTGTTAAAATCAAGGATTGAAATACCGTATTGGAGGTCGTATCAGAAAAGTTAACGGTAGAAAATTTTATGCTGGAATCGTGGTTTAACCGTGGTTCAACCGTTTTCTACCGCTAAATACCGCCTACCAGTTTCGCTTCTGATAGTAGGTTTTTCTGGTCGAACTACCGGTATGGTACGATTCTTCATCTCATATTATGTTTGTTGACTGTTTTGAGGGAAAAATTTTCCAGCCCCTGCCTTGGAGCTTTCTGTACTCCCCTCCACTCTGCAATTTTTGACGTGAGGCTGGCGACGTTTCCATTCTCGTTCAAGTTTTCACGTTGCTGTCATATTTTTAAAAAGCAAAATACACTTGTATAGTCATAACTTTGGCGTATTTGTTAATAATAGACACTTTCGGAGAAATACACAAAATAGCCAATTCTGTCTTATTTTTTAACGGTGTTATCTAACATGCTGATTTGACTAACAGAAGTGCTGATGTGGCAACTTTTGTCAGCGCACGAAAGAATAGAAAAAGTAAAATGAAATAAAAAAAATTAATGAATTTTTGAGGAGCCATCCATCCCTTCTCTCTCTTCGCTTCCCAATAATGGCGAATTGGCGATTGATATCCCATCGTCTTCGCCCAAAACGTCCTCCCTTCCCCGCCGGTCTTTCCGGCCGCCGCGCTGGTCATTGCACCCATCCTCGTCTTCGTACTTCCTTCCTTCCACACCGCCCATTTTCGACACTCAAATTTCAATCCAAAACCTGCAATCAAACCCAAACTCATCTCAGCCGTCGTCAATCCTCCAACCCCTAAACCCCAGCTCCCGACGCCGCAAAGAAGAAGCCGATCGCCTAGAGGCGGAGTTTCTCATTTCACAACCAGGACAGGGTCGAGACTCGCCACCATGGCAGCGGCCGAGCCCAGATGCGTCGATGTTGGGTGAATTCCAAGTCCCTTTAGAAGATCCGGACGATTTGCAGAATGGATATAATGAGTAATTGTTGGCGATGGCTTCAGATCTATTTTCCTCTTATTTATTTTTATTTTGAGGTTTGATTGTTGGATTCGGGATCAGCATGATGAAGAACTCCGGCTATCCATCGAGCTTGTTCGTGTCAATCAAGCTCTTGAATCTGATCTTGAACACCTTAATTTTATGAGACAATAAACAGTTTCGGCTGGAGCTGCTTAGAGAGAAGGCAGCTTGGACAACGTTTTCGTCTTTTTGTGGCGCGATGAAATGGCGGCGGGGCAAGGCGATGGTGGAGACGCAGCGGTGGCCTGGCGGTGTTGCTTTGTTGTTTTCCGACGAGGAAAAACTGGTGTTTGAATTAAATGATTTGCACCTTGACTTCTTGAACAACGATTAATAACACAGTTCACTCCTCTCTACTACAATGTTCGAACGAGGGTGTTTGATGGTTTTGATGGTTTTTTGGGGACAAACTAAAAAATTTCACCTACTCCTATGGAGGTTCAGTGAGAGCTCCGAAAACTAAGGCTATGTCTCATTTGCAGAGAAAAAGATAAAGTTTGACATAGTGTGACAAATATGGTCTTCTGTTGGACACACCATTTTGTTCACCTTTCTTGACATCAACTTGCCCCCCAGCCTGACTCTTCATCTTCAACTTGTCAGGTGGTAGGCTTCCATGCACCTCTTCCTGCCCCCCTGGTGGTTTGCATCCACCAGACCGCTTAAGCATCAATGGCAACGAGGGTGGGCAAACTTGTGGTAGCACATCCATAGCTAGTGACCATCCACCAACTCTCATGTTCAAGAATGGTTTAGCCTCTGAGACAGTTTTTAGAGTAACTGTCTGCATTGGTGGCGGTTGCTTTACATGGGTGGTTAATGTGTTGGTAATATTCTTGTCATAACCGCCTTGTTGAAGAGGTGGTTGACTCATTGTCGGAGGCGGTAAGTTCTCTGACCGTGGTTGGGTAGTCCGACCATCGGAGAACAAGATACTTGTATACTCAGTATCAATACTTGGTGGCGGATCTATACCATTTTTTGGTAAATAAATTTCTCGCACCACTGGTTCGATAAAATATTTTTTAAGATTATCCAAGCAATTTGTATTTTCTGTAGTTGCTTCAAGCAATTCATCCAAACGTCTATCTAACATAGAACTAAAAGAAGCAAGTTTTAGACTTGTCTGTTGTGAACTTCTAACAAGTCCATTCAAACTCTCTTCCATCAATCGAAGGATCTCCACCATCACTTGACGGTTCCCCACCACCATCTTGCAGTTATCATCCACTATTGAGCGGAGTGACATGACAGTGGTGGTTACATCGGCACAAGGTGCCACTGGTGGCAAGATCTCAATCATGCCATTGTTTCTGACAACACTTACTGATGCTTGGCCAAATTTGAACTTGGCCGCCAACTCCTTCACAACTCCTGGTGAAATATCACCTTCATGTTCTCTCAGTCGTGGAGCCATCAAATCAAACACACAGTTGTCCCACCAGGTGTGCCAATTAGTTTTCTGGCGAGGAAAAACTTGTGTTCGAACACAATGAATGCACCTTGACTTCTTGAACAACGACAATCAACACGGTTCACACCTCTCCGAACAATGTTCGAACGAGGGTGCTTGATGTTTTTGATGGTTTTTGGGAACAAACTAAGTTAATTACACCTACTCCTATGGAGGTTCAGTGAGAGCTCCGAAAACTAAGGATATGGCTCATTTGCAGAGAAAAAGATAAAGTTTGACATAGTGTGTCAAATGGTTGGTTGTGGAACCCTTTTCCCGTCTTCGTTTCTCCTATTTATAGCCACTAGGAGTAACTGCCTTGGTAACCGCCTTGGTAACTGCTAGCCGACTTGTTGCTCCAATCGCCTTAGGGACCCATTTTCGTTGCCTTGATCCAGTTTCTGAGGTAGTGGATCTAATGAACTGGATCCACTGCATTTAAATATCCAATAGCCTTAACTGTATGCTCGGTTATCCGATTGTAGTGAAATTATTTAGCCAAGAGTTGAATGAGGCTATTGGATATTTCAATGAAGTGGATCGAGTCAATCAGACTCTATCCACTACCTCAGAAAGTGGATCAGACTCTCTAACTCGATCCCACTAGTGGTTCGAGTCCATTGAACTCAAACCACTCCAAACTTAGGTATTTTTAAAATTTATTTTATAAGCTAGCTTATAACCGGGCCCGTCAACCGGAATGTTCATATTTTAATATTAATATTTTTATGTTATGTTTAAGTATATTAATTCGTTTAAGCTAGTGTATTTATAATTTTTTTTATTATTGCTGTTTTTCGGGGAAAACTCCACTTAATTCCCTCTCTTTACTTTCTCCCAAAAGGAACCCACCTCGTACGGATGCGCCATCCACCCACTGGGCCGGCCTTGTTGGCCAACTAAACTCGGCCCTTGATTTGGGCCTAAAAGTGGCCTCCCTTCTCGACTTACTGTGTTGGGCGATGCAGTGAACTGTGAAGGCCCCCGTCCCTCTTATTTATTTGTTAAAAAATATAAATTAAAAAAAAACAAATTCTTCTTGAAACGGTAAATATGTGTATAGAATACAATATGAAGTAGATTTAAAAGTAAAACAAAATACTATGCCTTCAGTAAGTTGCAAGATAGGAAAAGGAATATAACTAAAAATAAAATAACAAAGAATCCATTTAATTTGGAATGGATCATGTACATATTTTAACCTCATTCTCATTACTTCTAAGGCACTAAATTATTTAATTTATACCCTAAACATTAAGCCTTGTAAAAAAAAAAAAAAACACCACCTTTTGTCTTTTTTTTGGTGGGACCACCTTTTGTCATTACACTCTAATACTCTTATTAATCTCGCGTCATTAATCATGTATCTCAAATTCTAGATCTTAGCCCCTGATCATAGAACAACAAACCATTTACCACTACATCACACGGTACTCACTCTCATTTCTTGAACTCTTACCATTAACCCCTTGAGAAGAATGACTCATGATCATGTGGACACATATTATATCACAAGGTAACACTCGACATTTTTGCAAAGTGTGAATTAAAAACAACATAAAGTAATAGAAGATATAAAATAATCCATATTACTAACCGAAACACAATTTGACCTAGCACAAGGTAACATGGCGCTGTTTTGAAGGTTAAACATGTTGGAAATCGAACAGGAAAAATTAGGTTATCGATCTGGCTGAGTCGCGGACTAGGTCGCTCTCTTTAATACGTTCGCGGCACTGTCTCGTTATTCGCACAGCAGACTATCAGCCGGTCGCCTCCAGGATAAAACAGCCACTCTTTTGATTTGCTCAGCGGTTTTGTGCGGAAAACCGGAGCTCTTTGAATCTCACTCTCTCTCGTGTTTATGCTCTCTGAGGTGTGTTTAGAGGGTCTGGGGCGTCTCCTATTTATAGGAGCAGAAAACCCAGAATATTCCCTCTTTCTTTGGGAATAAGTCATATTTTAATTAGGGAGTTAATTACTCCTATAATTACAATATAATATATTAAGATAATTATTCCTAATTATCTCCATAATATTCCTTTTATTAATTAGGTTAAATACACTTGTATATCCAAAAGTATCACGTTTGTGCCAATAATATCCAAAAAAACCGGAAATACCACTTATATCCAACTCTGTCACATTCTTTGACGGTGTTAACTTTAATTCTGACTGGACAAACGGTGGTGCTTACGTGGCGAACGCTTATTTCCCAATTCCTCTTTACTTATCCACGTGTATAGCTACTTAATATTATTTAAAAAATTAAACAAAAAAAATTTCAATTGACTCCATCTGACCTCATCCTCGACTCGACCTAACTTTCTACCCTTCTGAATTTTTCCATCGACCAACCCCTAACCCTTCGACTGTGGAGGGCGACAAAGGCGACGAAGGAGAGGGATTTTGACGAAGGCAACGGAGGAAGACGACGGCGACGGAGGAAGACGAATGCGACGGAGAAGGAAGAAGGCAGCGACCCCCCTAATCCGTTGTATCCCCTTATTTTCCTTCATCCTTCGTCGATCAACCTTCTCGCCCACCTTCGAAGAATTCGAAGAAACCCTAATCGCACCGAAAAAGGGGGATTTCTGAGCAACCTCGAGTTGAGCCACAAGTGAGTCTCCCTTTTGAATTGGTAGTTGTGGGTGTTGATTGTGGTTAGAAAGTTCTTATAGTAGTGTTTTTCTCTTGCTTTTTTGGTTGGTATCGAGGAGTAAAGACAGAAGAACAAGGGGACCACTCGACTGGATTCCACACCGATTTTGCCCCTGAATCTGACGGTGAGTAGCTGAATCTTCTGGATAGAATTGTCATTACCTTTGGTTGCAAAAACCCTAGAATTGAATAATGTCAATCGTTGCTTTTTTCGAGTTGTTTTTTAGTTAATGATTAAAGAATTGTTAATTGGGATAATGGTGATTAAAAAACTGATTAAGGCTGTTACAGATGGCTGATTCATTGGATGAGGCTTTTGGAGAGAATGATCCAGATGCTCTTCAGGATAGTCCAGTTGCTTCCTTGGCCGCACATGATGGTGTCGAGGCATCTGTTGCTCGAGAAATATACCATGTTTACGATTCAGAAGATGCAGACACTTCTGATGACGAGTACCATGAAGAAATGGCAAATCTTAGAGCCTATGGGGAGAGTAGGAGAAGGAAGGTGAAGGCACGTATTGATGGCCATGGAGAGGAGGTCGAACAACTTGATGTTGGAGGAGGATGAATCCTCTGATGATGACTCTGAGGAGGAGGATGGATTGGCTGGGGATAATGGTCAGAATGGGGATAATGGTGTGAATGAAGGTAATGGTGTGAATGAACCGGCCGAGGTACCTCCAATGCAAGAAGCTAGGCCAGCAGACTCGAACCATTCGAGTTATAGGCTCTCTGAGGATTCCAACCATGTAAGAGCCAATCTTTCTGATTCGGAAGGTGGGGACATCTTCGACGATGCACCGCAATGCGATCCACATTGTAACCACAAGGTTCTCCAGTTCGTGCCGCGGATGAAGTTTGTAAGTCCTAAGGAATTTAAGGCAGCTGTGGTTCACCACTCTGTAGCACATGGGGCCGGTTTGAGATGGATTAGGGTTGAGAAATCAAGAAGAGAGGTCAAATGCAAGGACAAGAACTGCAAATGGAGGGTATATGCTAGCTGGTTCAGGCGGAATCAGAGCTTCATGGTGAGGAAAACCGGGCTGCCACATTCTTGTGCAAGACAACTGCGGGTTAACCAAGTCACTGCCCACTGGATTGCACAGGATATGCTCGAGAGATTCAGAATTAATCCCGAGTGGGCGCCAACTCAAATCATGGCAGAGGTAAAATTGAAACAAAATATAGAGGTGGCTAGAAGAACCTGCTATAGAGCCAAAATAAGTGCTATCAAAATGTTGAGTGGTTCACTTGTGGAAGATTATCACATGGTGAGGTCTTACTTGGGAGAGTTGAAAAAGAGAGATCCTAGAGGGAACTTCATTCTTGGAGTTGAGCCGCACCCTTCAGAAGACAAGGTGTACTTCCAAAGATTTTACATAGGATTCTCTGCATTAAGGGATGGGTTTCTTGAAGCGTGTCGTCCGATGTTCGGATTGGACGGATGTTTTCTGAAGGGAGAAATTAAAGGCATGCTTCTGACGGCAGTTGGTAAGGATAGCAACAACCAAATGTACCCAATTGCTTGGGCAGTTGTCGAGGGAGAAAACACAAACTCATGGATGTGGTTTGTGAACACATTAGCTCAAGATTTGGAGCTTCGGGATGGTAGGGGGTGGTCTGTCATATCGGACCAGTAAAAGGTAGGACCCAATTGCCTTTTAAATTCCATTAAATTCAATTAAATTCCACATGCATTATTTCTAACACTATTGTTTACTTTGCAGGGGTTAGTGGAGGCATTACATGACTTGTTACCCAAGGCCGAGCATCGTAAGTGCGCAAGGCGCGTGTAAGCTAACTGGAAAGTCAAGAACAAGACAGATAGGGTGAGAAAGATTTTTTGGAAAGCAGTATACTCTTGCAATGAGGTTGATTGGAAGAATGCCACAACTGAAATGGAAGGTATTGAAGGTGAGGAACATGGTACAACCCCCTTCACTAATTTCATGAATACAGAACCTAGGTCCTTTTGCCGTGCATTCCTGTCTACCTTACCAAAGTGTGACTCGGTTGAATCTAATATTTGTGAAACTTGGAATGGGGTGATTGTCAAGTATAGGGGAATGCGAATCATTGACATGTTAGAGGGAATTAGAGGGTATGTTATGGATAGGGTTGTTGTGAAGTATGAGATGATGTTGAATTGTACCGATATGTTATGCCCTAGAATTAGAAAAAGGATAGAGAAGGAAAAGGAGGTGGCAAGGTTATGCACTGCAAGACAAACTTTGCATGATAAGTGTGAGGTCAAGATAGGTGTTGCAGGTTACATAGTCGACCTAACTACTAGATCTTGCACGTGTGGTTATTGGTCGTTGAGTGGCATTCCTTGCTGCCATGCCGTCTCTGCGATCTCCCACTTGAGAAAGGACTTGGACAGCTACGTGCATTCCAATTACTATGTGCACAACGCCGAGCACGCCTACAAAAACGGTCTCCCATGTCTTGAAGGGAGACAAGCTTGGCCTGCTGCTGAGGGCATTCCAGTGTTCCCACCCAAACAACGAAGTATGCCTGGAAGGCCCAAAAAAAAACAGAAGAAAGGCAGCCCATGAGCTAGAGGTTCGACCGCAATGGAATCGTGAAGGAGAGGAAGTTGCAAGACGTGGTTCAATCATGCATTGCTCCAAATGTGGCTCAGAAGACCACAATGCAAGATGTTGTACTGTTCCTACTGTCGCGATAGGCATGGTAAGATTATCACATGACATGGTTTCAGCTCAATGGCGCTCAAGGACGGCCAGTTCGAGGCTCTCAACCCACTGAGATTGAGATGCATGGTAGCCAGCCCCCCAACACTCAACCTTAGACGGATAAAGGCGTTATTTTTTGTGATAGGCCATTAAGCTACCTCACAAGAGGTCATTTTGTTTAGCTGACTCGTGTAATGGCCCATTTTGTTTAGCATCTCAGATTGGAGCTGACTGTTATGCTTCAGAATCTTAGACTACTCTGTAATGAATAGGTATTTAGCATCTCAGATTGGAGCTGACTGTTATGCTTCAGAATCTTAGACTACTCTGTAATGAATAGGTATTTAGCATCTCAGATTGGAGCTGACTGTTATGCTTCATAATCTTAGATTCCAGTGTAATGAACAGCTATTTAGCATATCAGATTGGAGCTCATGTTTGGAAGCTCATCAACTACAACAACTTAAACTATTTAACTCATTTAAGAAAGATAACACAACTACCTTATGTTTAGCATATCAAATTCGAAGCTCATAAACTACAACAACTACAATTGACAGCAAACCTGGTGCTGGCACAACTCCCTTGTGTTTAACATCTCATCTAAGATACAACAATCACCTTTCTCATGGAATCAAACCTAGTACAATAGAACTACTTCTGCATAACAAGGTACTGCCACAAAAGAACAAGCAATATGAAATTCACTACAACAACCACTGTGAAATGATATCGGATGAGACGGATGTCATGAGCCAATCTCCTTCCTTCAGCCAGCATAACTTCTTGAGTCTTCATCAACCTTGACAACTCTTCAACCAAAATTATATTCTCCTTCTTCCTCCTTTCCGCTTTCGACTCGGCTATCCGCAAATTATCCTCGAGCTTCAGCTGAGAACTCCCAATTGTAGAGGTTTCTTCATCCAGTTCATCAACCATCCCATGTACCCACCTAAAGAAACCACAGTTCTTTTTCTCGTTCTGCACCATAAAAGGCAACCTCAAAAAACACATTCACCAAAGGCAACCTCAAATACCAAAAACCACCTTACCTTCCAATATCGGCACCCATAGAACTGTCTGTCTGGGTTCATTTCCGTACCAGAGGTATTAACCACACAGGCCAAGTTGTGTTTGCAAACTACCACCCCATGATCTTGTGTCGAAGTTGAAGAAGAACATCTCTTCGACATGGCGAAACGTCGACTAAATTCAAATGCAGAGACGAGAATCAACAAAGAAGTTAATCACCTACGACAAATGGAAATCTGGGTCTGCAAATCGCTTTTGTCGTGAATCTGGGTCGCCGATCGCTAATCGCCAATCGCCAAATCCGCCAGAATCGCAGGAGTCGCCAAATCGCCAAAAACCACGAATCCGAAATCTTCACTCGACGGGAGGATCTTCAATCTCAGGGAGTATATACAGTCGGCGGGAGGATCTTAAATCGCCTGGAGGAGCCTCAGTCGGCAGGAGGAGATTTTGTCGCCGCCAGGGTGCGAACCCTAAAAACGAAAGGAGAAAGGGATTTCGGAGCAACCTCGTTGTTCGTCGTCAGTGGTAATATGTGGGATTAGGTTTTTTTTTTTTAAATTATTATTTTTTAATTCATTCTTACGTGGCACTTTTGGCGTAGTTGTGGCTTACGTGTCTGCATAGTTGGCGTACAATCAGCTTGTCGTCAGCTATGTTGACGGAGTTATTAACGCCGTCAAAGCATTTAACGGAGATGGATAGATTTGGAAAAGAACAACTTTAAAACATGGATATAAGTGGTATTTCCGGTTTTTTGGATATTATTGGCACAAACGTGATACTTTTGGACATACAAGTGTATTAAACCTATTAATTATCCATCTTATTTATGTATTATGGGAAAATACTGGATAATTAATTAGGAATTTCATTTATAGCTTTTCAAAGCTATTCATCCCAACAATCCCCCACTTGAATAGTTTTGAAACTATCTTTAGCATCAACAGTTCCATAAGATCGCGCATAAGCTAAGGTATCGCGAAGATTTGAACCTTAGCGTAGTGGTTACACTTCCGATTTCATAAGGGTGACTCGTAGTCTTGAACTCTATCTCAGACAATGTAGCACACCGGATCTTTTCATTGAGTGATATTCTCTCATAGGCCGTGCGTTTATGGCCATGCACGTTATCCCGGTTTAGTGAACGTTCTAGCAACTTTGTGCCTCCAAAGTTCCATAGGGAGCGGCCCCACTCCCACATTCACATAGGTGAGTCTATCAGAAGTACCCCCAAAGTAAAGTACTTCACTCCACATAGAGTATAGATCTCATTAAGAGTTTAACTCAACCTCCAAGGCTTTGGGATTCATGCTTCACTATGCATGAACTTTTCTCAATATTACTCATGCCTTGTTATTACCCATTGAACCCGTTTCTTGGGATCTCCAGTCTATCGGGTCGGGTTACCATCACTTGTAATCCATGGTTTGGTAGGCATAAGTCTCATACTCATCATGGCATTTTGGACTTTCTCTCTAGTTAATCCTTTCGTCAAAGGATCAACTAGATTCTGTTAGGATCTTACATGATCCACCCTCATTGCTCCTATCGTTAGGAGTTCTCTTACAGTACTGTGCTTACGACAAATTTGTCGTCTCTTTTCGTTCTAGACCGGTTCCCTTCTTTAGTAATAGTTGCGGTGCTATCACAATGAATCAACTACTGGAGGGATCGGTCTTTCCCATAAGGGAATCTCTAGTAGTGAGTAGTGACCCTCTCAATCAACTTTCCTCTTTACTAGCCATTGCTAGTTCTATCGTTTCTGATTTCTTAGTTGATTGAGCCAGGATCGTTTACTTCTTAGACTTCCAAGACACAACACTTCCAGTGATGTTTAAAACATGTCCACTGGATGCCTTGGAGTCTTCTATAGGGTATTCTCGTCCGCATCAATGTACCCTACCAATACAGTACGAAACCGTTGATAACTTATATCAATGTCTGCTGTTCTCTTAAGGTGTCTCATGACCCCTTTCAATAGCATTTCAATGCTTCATACTAGGACAATCAATAATCCTGCCAAGTACCCCCCACTAAATCGGGTATCATGTTTATCAGCTGCCTCCTGCAGACTGTAAATGCTAGTATATTCTAACTTTCTTACACCGTCTTAGGTGTTCTTTAAATATTTATACGAGCATCATCAAACATGTATGCAGGTGTACATCTTGTATTTTCCTAGCTATTAGGATCTCTAAGCATAACATTTGTTTCATTCAGATCCTTCACAATCAAAATTCTCAACCATCATGGTTTTTCAATATTGACATTACGAGTCTTTTTACCAAAGATCGACGTGTCATTCATAATGCAAGTGTCATTCTCAAATTTTTACTAAATGCACTTGTCAATTTCACTTTTAAAACCATGAGAGAGAACCAGTTTATTCATGCCATCGTCTTAGAGTCTATTTCAAATCTTACAATGATTTGTCTAACTATAGACTCCCTAAGCATGTTCAGGAATAACAACCCTATAGGTTGTCCCATGTAGATTTCCTATCTAAATCACCATTCACAGAAACATGTTTAACAATCCATCTGACGCACAACACTAGCAATCAGAACATACATGGATGTTATTCTACATATGGGGAATAGATAACAAGAAAATTTACAATTTTTCCTTTTCGCTTAAAGCCTTAGCTATTAGGCGATCCTTATACTCATAAACTAAACCAATAGGTTTCACTTTTCTTTTAAGAATCCATTTATTACCCATGACTTCATTGCCAAGAGGTAATTCTCAAAGATGCCAAATCTTGTTCGATTCTATCGATATATTACCCAAGGCTTTTCAACCAAGAGGTAACTCTACAAGATTTTAAGTCTTATTAGACTACAATAATTCCATTTCGTTAATAATGGATTCTCCCACAATTCTGCATCTTTATGGAAGTTCGAACTTCTAGCAGACTTGTAGGATCTTTCTTTCTTAGGGTGTAAATAACAAATTCATAACCAAAATCCTTTCGTGATTTATGGTTCATTTGTCAATTCTGATTTCATACTCAGATTCATCACCCCCACTAGTTATCCATTATTTCTAATAGTAGGCAGGATATCACCCCCACTATTTCTTAATACAAATGGAATCTATTGGCATCAATGGTTTTCACAAACTAATGAGTATTTCGTTTCATAGGCTTATGTATTTTACAATAACTTACACACTCATATACTCTTCTAGTCATCATGTCACTGATTCTCTAACGCTACCACATGCATGCCACATATCGAATAATCAATGCAATCATAATGCAACTAGGCATTTCAAACTATTTCGAATAACTAGTTAGACAATTAATCAGAGCACTCTAAAGAGCAATAAATTATTTATTGTCTTTTCCATAAAGTTTACCCATATCAACATAAATTAGATCAACTGATTCTGATTCTCTAACCACATATTTTATGGGTCATTTTGCTTGGATACAAAATTTCTCAAGCGTTTGAGAATAATATGGGAATGCGACTTTAGATATTCTAATTCTTTACAAGGACACACACGTCTTAAAAAAGAATCCATCTTAGATAGTCTATCACAGACATGCCTTTGGGCGCTAGTATCCAACAACCATTCTCCAGAGTTACCATTAAGGCTAACCTCTGTCATCACCTAAGCAATTATTATTGACAAATCCTCTTCTTTAATCAAGTTAACACAATACTATGTTAAACTTGCTCTAACACTTTCGTGTCATATGACCTAGTTTTTCTCAAATTTAATTGAGAAACATAGCGTCATTCTCAGAGAATTGTGTGACAATCTTATGGTTACCACGATGGGTACCATTCTAATTGGTGTGGATCTGGTTCAGCTTGCTGCTCTCATTCTTGAAACTTTAATGTTTCACAGCAACCTAAGTGGTTCGTGTAGTACTGATAATATCGTTATTATGGACAATAAACCCATTCTATTCCCATATATTCTTCACAGATATGCATGCATTTAAACAAAATCATTATACTCCACAACATGTGTTCAATTTCTAATCATCGAGGTAATAAATCTCAATGTCAACATGCATCAATTCTAGATTTTCATTTCTAGCATTCATAATGATTCTCAATTCCATGCATATGGTAGATTTTAATTTGTCATTTTGCATTCTAATCTTGCAACGAATAGCTAGCACCACGCATAGCTCGCTTGTTTCTCATCCACCTTCTCTGCACAGCGCTTCGATGCAAGCACATAAACAACCCCCCCCCCCCCCCCCCCCCCGCGATATATCATCGTTGATTATGACTTCCAGTTCTACCGATACATACTGATTCCAGCCGGTCCACGGTGAAGCTCTAAAAGTCTTGACCAATCAAGACATTTGCGGCAGCAACATTAATGGAAAGCTGTATTGGTTTATCCATAGAAATTCAAGGCCCACTAAGTTGACTAGGCCGTCAGAATTCCATAAAGTCCCTTTGATGGTGCGACTTGGACCGGAGCAATTTTTTACTTGGCTCGGGACGGATTGGAAAATAAAATGGAGTCGACTTTCTGACCCAAACTTTATTCCTCACGAGGTGCAATTACCCACATCCATACAAAAGGATGCAGCGGGCCACTATTAACCATTGAGCTTCAGATTGGGATTTTCAAAGCCCGGCCCAGATAACTGCGAGACCTCAGTCTGCCTTCCCCCGGTGTGAGACCTATTTCGGTCGTCCTTGTCTCGCGCCACACCTTTACTTTTCTCCTGGAAGCAGCAGGCCTTAAGTCCTGAAAAGCCACAACTCTTTCATCGGCGTAGAAGCTCGGTTGAACTTGAACCGCCGACGATTGGGCAGAAGATGCACGACGACGGCGAGGAAGCACCGGCCATTTTCTCAGAACTTTTCACGGTTTCGATCTCCCTAGCAATTTTGCTTCTTTGTATTGTTCAATCAGAAGCGTCGCTGGGTTCCACACACTTGATTCAGAAGCTACCAGACCATTGGGAAATAGTTCCCGGGCTTCGGAATTGGTTCCCCATAAAAATCCTCTGTCAAAATCCAATATAATTGTATGCGATTCACCGATGAATTTGAATCCCATTGCATTGGCGGCCTTAAGAAATTGGTTCGGCAGCTCCGATTCTAGACTCTTCTCTCTCACTTTTCCTGTAGGCTGTAGCGGCCGTTCTTTCCTTCTTTTTTCCGAGCGAACGACAATAGTAATTAATCTAGCCAGTATCGGCATCCTGTTCGGTATACATAGACAACAACCGAACGTCTTAAAATTGTTGGAAATCGAACAGGAAAAATTAGGTTATCGTTCTGGCTGAGTCTCGGACTAGGTCGCTCTCTTTAAGACGTTCGCGGCACTGCCTCGTTATTCGCACAACAGACTATCAGCCGGTCGCCTCCAAGATAAAACAACCACTCTTTTGATTTGCTCAGCGGTTTTGTGCGGAAAACCGGAGCTCTTTGAATCTCACTCTCTCTCGTGTTTCTGCTCTCTGAGAAATGTTTAGAGGGTTTGGGGCGTCTCCTATTTATAGGAGCAGAAAACCCAGAATATTCCATCTTTTTTTGGGAATAAGTCATATTTTAATTAGGGAGATAATTACTCCTATAATTAAAATATAATATATTAAGATAATTATTCCTAATTATCTCCACAATATTCCTTTGATTAATTATCCATCTTATTTATGTATTATGGATAAATTCTGAATAATTAATTAGGAATTTCATTTATAGCTTTTCAAAGCTATTCATCCCAACAAAACACACAAGTCAATCACGTGTCACCATACTAGCAAGGGGCCGGACCACACCCTCCAAGCCTCGTTAGTAGCTCTGCCGGTGTGAAATCGGCCAAAACCGAGTTGGAAAACAGGCGCTGCAAATCCCAATCCAAAGAGAGAAAGAACAAAGCAAACGCCAAACTCTAATACGCAAAGCAAGACAAAAGCTTTGAGTTTCCCTAGCATGCATTTGCATGCGCCAACAAACCGTCGTAATTAGTACCCAATAAAAATAAATAACGGCTTTCTAAGCACTAGAAGAGAGGAAAGGGAAGGCTCCAGCTAGGTGTTACTTTGAGAGGCCATGTTATTAACTTCTTATTATGGGGCGGTCATAGATTTCTACATCAGTTTCTGAAAATTACAGACACCAAGGCCGCGCCCGCCATCATCGCACAGCTCCTCAACCCACCAGACACTTTCCCAACCTTCCACAAAAGAGAATGACTAAAAAAAAGGAAAGTAGCCCCCCAACTCCCCCTTTTGCTTCTCTTACTTTTGTGTCAGATTCGATTCCCCAAAAGCAAACTTTTCCTCAATTCCCTCTCTCCCCACCATGGATGTATGTCTGCTCGCCGTGCCGTGCCGTGCCGTGCCCGGAAAACTAAAACTAGCTAGAAACTAACAGTCGCATGTTCGTCATTTACAATATAGGCGAGACATTCATTCCTCTTTCTTCCATCTCGATAAGTAATAAATTAATTAATTACCATCTTGGATTCCCTCAACTTGCTTGACGTTGGTCGACTCAAATCTCTTGCTCCCACTACCGCCACCGCCACCTTGACTGCTGTTACTTCCATCACCCTGGTGGTGGCTGCTGCTACTCTTCTCCTTTTCTTTCCTGCTCGGCGTCGCCGCCCCGGCCTTGGGCAGCCTCCTCGGGATGCATTTCGTGGCCGCGGCGCTACGGCGGCCACTACTTCCTTCCATCTCCTTCTCCCCCAGTTGTTGCAACTGTGACATCCTGCTGCGCAAATTCAATTATCAGAAACATCTATCTGCAGCTTTGTAATTAATAAGTCAACTCTGTCTGTCACAGCTAATAAGGGCAAACAACGAGCAAGAATAATTGAAGTATACGTGCGCATTAATAGCGCATTATGGTACGCCGGATGCTGCAGCAGGCTCGTGTATAGATTCTCTGCTGAATTAAAACCGACCTCACCCCAAACTGTACTGGAAAAATCCAGATTGAAGGCAGGAAAGTAACCCCACAAATAATACTGTACAAACATTCAATGGGAGAGAGTTAGAAAGGAGCCCCGTTCTAGTTCTGTGAGACCCAGCTGGTTTTGGTTTTTGTCTGGGTTTCTGGCTTTCTAGCTTCTGCTGTGTGCGGCTTTCTCTCCCTGGCTTTTACCCACTACCCGCCATAAATATTCTGAAAACTGACGAGGGAATAGCTATAGCCAGATAGAAAGGTGGGTGGGGGATATAGATCTTGGGTTAAATGCTCATGATACTACTGCGAATCTGCAACTGCTGGCGTCGGACGGACAAATCCAACCCCACTGCGAATCAAAATAATTCTGAGGCGTCTGACACTATCATATAATATCAAACAGTAATATGTTCATTGTCCAATCCACAGTAATATGCCAAAGGAGGGAAAAAGGAAGGACTTGTTTGGCTGGATAGTGGCTTTGTAACACGTATATGGAACTACTTTCCAACCGACCTTTCAATATCAAACAGATTCTCTTTTCAATTGACACTTTCGATTGCAAAAGATTTTAACTCATTGCTTATAATTGGGTTTATTAGATTTGGAATTATTATGATTAAGTTGAAATGCTATGAGATGATTACTATTCTTTTATATATCTAGATTGTGTGTCTAATCACATTTTAACATTACACATCCTGTCCCTTCAACTACTATAAACAATAGCTAATCAAGTAATCAACAGATAGACTAATGGTATCCCGACATATTATAAAATAATAATTTATATTATGTTAAGTTATTTGACGATTGCTTAATCGTTCGACGTATTCAGAATGATATCATGATAAACCATCATGATTGACCTTATAAATTCTCGATGCAGTTACGAGATTTTACTAGTGAGCCAAACCTATATCGTCAAGGTCCTGCGTATTTGAATCCTAACTACCACAAGAACATGTGGGCACCCCTTAATTTAAACAAATTTATCGTCCAACAAACTTCTATTATTGGGGCGATATACTACTAATTAAGGGAATTGTTGTCATTCGGCGTACCTGTCAGCATTGTAGGAATTAGACCGCTTCAGAGCAGCAGGAATCTCTTCCTTCTTCGTCTCGATCACGCTCCCGCTAAAATACTCTTTATCTTCCAATCTTACCCCTGGAGAAATCCCAAGTTCCCTGGATGCCCCGGCCAAGTGGTCCCCAACGCCACGTGGCAGCCTCCCCTTGTATTGCCCAATCAAAGAGAGCCCTTGCTCCTTCACCGCCGCGGCCCCACAGTCCCTGAACGAGATGGACCCGCAGGAAATCAACTGCATCAGGACCGTCGACGCCTTCACCCTTCCGCCGTTCTCCGCCGTCGGATTCGAATTCTCCGCTCCGCCGCTCCTCCCGCCCAGTATCAGCCGTCTATCCGCTTTCATCAACGTCTCCAGCGTCTCCGGGCTGGAGTCCGACGGCGGAGGCGAGATCTCGATCTCCTCTCTGCTCCCTCCTCCAAGCTCCCGGCGGTCCCGCCTCGCTCCGTCGACGTCTGACGCCTCAACGATCTCTCCTATTTCCTCCTCGGCCGGCTTCACCGGCCTCCTCCGCCGCCTCTTGTCGTCGGTCTGAGTCGCCGCGTCCGCCGCCAGCCTCCGGCTCGACTGGGAGAACGGCTCCGCTTTATACACCTTGTACTCGCTCAGATCGATGGAGCTCCAGGACTGGTTCCTCCGCCGCGTGACCAGCGGGCGAGGATCCAGATCGTCGCTCGACGGCGGGGACGATGACGATGACTTGTGGCTCTGAATCTCGGCCGGTAACTTGACGGATCTGAAGGAAGCCGTGGAGTCGACGAGCGATTTCTGCGGCGGCGGCGGCGGTTCGAGAAGCTCCGAGCCTTTGAGGACGTACTCGTTGCCGTGGGCAGGGTAGATGAAATCGCTCTCCGCCAAATCGTGCCAGACGAAACCGCTTTTGTAGCTCCTGGTGCCAAAAGCGTGGGATTCATATAAGAAAAAAATTCCATAACTGAATCAAAAAACGCATTTCGAAATTGCAGCCTTACCGTTTACAGGACCAGGAATAGAGAGCAGCCATGCCTTTGCCGCGGAGAAGATTCAAGCGGTCGAGCACATCTGAGAAAATTAGATAAAAACAGTATGAAAAGTGCAGGAAAACACCACTGATTGGTTACTGAGAAAATGCGAGAGGAATCGTGAATTTCTCCTCTCCCTCTCTCTCTCTCTTTTTTTTTTACCTCGGAGATAGAGACCGTCGGGAGCGGTGAGGGGGACTTCCATGAAATGAGGGTGCTCGAGCTGTCCATTTCTGGAGAGGTAGTAAACGACGGGGACTTTCTTCTCCTCCTCGGGGAAACTGTTTGTGGCCTTATTATCGCCATTTTCTTGAGCGGCATTGTTGGTGGCGTGGGGGTGACCCCAGACTCTGATTCGCTCAGGAGTAGCTTCTCTGTCCGTCCATTTCCTCGGAATACGAAGCTCTGCGTTTCTTCCTCTGGAACTGACCGACATGTCGACGTTCCCTCTCCTATTTCAGCTTTTCCAATCCGCCGGAAGAAACAATCAAGCAAAAGCGGAAACGGAAAATGTAGGGGTAGACGACGGAAGGGGGCAGGAGAGGAAAGCGATTGAGCAGAGAAGGAAGGGAAAGGAGAGAGAGAGAGAGAGAGAGAGATGGTTGGAATGGGGGGAAGGGGAAGAAATAAGAATGGGAAGCCGGAAGGAAGCGTGTGTTTTGGGGGAAGGACTGAAGTGGTGATTTTGGGGGAGAGGGGATTCAAAAATTGAAAATGAAGGGGATGGATGCTGAAGACAAGAGGAAGAGAACAAAAGAAGGAATGGTTGTTCGTTTGCTTGCCTGTGACTGTGAGGGGTGATATGAATTCAGAATTAAGTATCAGATGTCTGCTGACTTTGCAGTCTTAGGACGACCCGAGTTTCTCTTGTTGTGTTAAGAGTGGTGAATGTTTAGATGACCGAGTTAGCAGAGAGTAAATACTTGAGTCAATGAAAATTTGAAAGAGATGTCAGAAGGGTTGAAAAGTAGACCTGCTGACAAATGGATAAACAAACATATAAAAGAAGTCAGTAATAAATGAATAAATAAGTCTGTCATCCAGTTTATAAAAAAAAAAATACACTTGTATAGCCAAAACTTTAGCGTTTTGACAATAATAGCCAAATTTGAAAAAATATCACTTATAGCCATATTTTGTAATTGTTGTATGACAAATATAGTCATTTCCATTAGAAACTCTAACGGTGTTAGTAAAACCATCAACTTTTTGACAGTTTGCTGACTAGACTTCTACTCAGAGCACACATCATCGCCAAATTAAACCGAAATCTAACGTGGCAACACATAATGCTTGTGTGTATAATAATAAATAAATAAATAAACACCAATAAACAAAAAAAAAAAGCGAATTCATGCGTTCCATAGATCTGTAATCTTCTCTGCTTCGCTTATCACAAAAAAAAAATTCTTTGCTTCCATACCTCTTCTTCTCCCAAAGCAACCCACCTCCCTCTTTGTAATCTTTTCTATCTATTTGCCCTCCTCATATCACCATCGACTGCAATAATCAGCCGGATCTCCAGTAAGCACGCGGTCCGCCAGAGTTTTGTCTATCTCTCTCGATCGAGACAGCAAACAGAGAGAGAAGGAGGACGTGAGCGGCAGCTGCGGTGGGGAAAGGCAGCAACGACCGAGCGATTTGCTTCTCTCCATCCACGGATGACGGACGAAGGTTGTCCTCGACGTCGCCGGAAGGAAGATTGAACAGGGCGGAGGAGAAAGGGGAAGTGACTTTTTGGTTCCCTGTTCCAGATCTGTATCTTTGCCAGACACGTGGTTGAGCTTATCGTGGAGGAGGAGGGATTGGGATGATTTTACGGCGGATTTCTGGGGATGACTGTGCGGGGTGAGGAGGAGCTACAAGGGAAACGTGGGATTGGATTGTTGGGGACGAGTGGATGTACAGGAGAAGTGAGGATTTGGATGATTTTTGGGGAAGATTTTTGTGGGATTTGAAGAGGAAGAAGACGAAATAGATTGGGTCAAGTATGGAGGGAGACGGCGACAATTGTAAGAGACAGAACACCAGATTTGGTGTTAGGGTTTGCTGATTGTGCGGCGATTGTGCAGGTTTCGTCGACGACGAACTCGACGCAGTGGGAATGGAATGGAAGGAAATGGGTTTTTTTATTTTATTAAATTTATTTATTTTTTGTTTTTAGTTTTCATTAATCTACGTGGCAGTGTTATTGGTGCAATATAGCTAAGTCAACATTTTCGTTTGTCCAGTCAGCTTGTTAAGATAACACCGTTAAAGTATTAGACGGAAGGGGCTATAAGTGGTATTTCTCCAAATTTGGCTATTATTGTCACGAACGCAAAAGTTTTGGCTATACAAGTGTATTTTGCCAAAAAAATGTCACTTTGAAATTTTGTTCTTGCTTATTGGTTTTGACATAGTTAGAAGTTGGTTGCTTTATGGATTTGAATGATAGATTTGGCAACCAAGGGGTCGTTTGGAAGTTGCGATTGTTAAATAGATGTACTGTTGACAATGCATGTATAATATTATACATGTATTGTCGAATTTGATGCATTGTAGAATACAACGTTTGGTATGTGTGATTGTGTATGTCGCATCAGCTAAATGCTGAGACAAAACAATCTCAACTCAACTATCTCAACAATCACAACTAAAAGTTGAGATATAACAATCACTCAAAATGAGTGATAGTTTCTGTCACATCATAGAAACAATCCATGTATTGTTTCTGCTAAAAAAACAAAAAAACAATGCATTGTAAACAATACATGCATAATGACAATCTCAACAAAACAATCGCAACTTCCAAACGACCCCCAAATCTATTTTATTATGAATTTAAGAAAAATTTATTGTTTGTTTGTATTTTTTTTAGGGACCAATTCATGGGCTCATAGATTTTAAAGGTTCAAATCCATGGGCCCCATGAATTTGTAAATCTCTTAAATAGATGTGAGATTTGTAACATGTCATTAACCAATAATAGAATTTTACCTACATACCTTCATGAATTTTTAGAATTTTAAGTTTGCACTCACATTTATATATTGTACATTATAAATAATCAATTAATTAAAACAAAGAAATAATATAAATATTCAATTAATGTGTAACACATGATTTAGATTTTTTATATCATTTCTTGTGTTCTAGTTTCCTTTTATCTTTTCATGGAACATATAATTCTTTGTTCCCTGGTTCTAATATATGTTGTTATACGTTATTTTCGAAAGAAGGATAAAGAATTGGTAACCGATATATGTTACGTTATATGTTAAATGAAAATTTTCTGTTTATTATTATTGTCCTTGTTTTGTGTACATTAGTACATATCATAAACATGACAAACAAATAGAAAAAGGATAGTATGGTAATTTTAGACTTTAAGTTCTAAATCCCAAGCCCTTAAATTCATGATAAAACATCTCAACAAACAAATGATTGTTACAAATACATAATGCCTCAAATCCTTGATAAATCCTTGGGTTTTAAAATTACAAAACTCTCATTTTTAAATCCATGAAGCAAACAACCACTTAACTGTGCTCGCGAAAGTAGTTATGTGCAAAATCACAAAGGAAATCTGTGACACCCTGAAAAGTGAAAACTACATATGAACATACTTTTTATGAGTTAAAGATACCAATATAAGAATGCTAGTCAGAGAATATAAATTGTTTAAAATGAGAAAAATGAAAATAAGTACTTAAATGTATAACAGATTCATAAATATAGTATGTGGATTAATTACTCTGGAAAATTTATAGTACTGCAGGCTTAGTTAATAAGATTTTAAACTACTTATCAAGGTCTTGGAGACAAAATGTAAGAATCGAAAGATCTTACTAAATTTGAGCTAAGTGAGTTAATAGGCTCCCTAACTAGTCATAAAAGAGTGTTAATAATTGTGGATAATGATCGACCTGGCAAGAGCAATGATCTAACTGTTAAAATCCCAATTGACGGAAGATGAAAGAAGAAATAGAAGAACATATTGCACTTCTCTAAAAAAACTCAGGGTATATATAATTCAAATGAAATCAGAACACCAACTATGGAAGGATTTTTAAATTCATCGAAAGGAAATTCTGCGACCTCCTCTCTCTCTCTCTCTCTCTCTCTCTCTATCTCTATCTATCTATCTAAATTTTTCTTTTTTGCTTAGCAGGAGAGCTAGGAAAGCAAGGGAAATGATCTAAGGATGAGTATTACTAAGAGAATGCCACCCCTTTCTCTCTCCCTAGCTATCCCATTAACCTCTCCAGATCTCACCCTGAGATCAGCTCCAGCTGCCGTCCGCGGAGCCATCTATATCCCCCAATCCAATTCTCACATTAAAGACGATGAGATCACAAAAGATCCTGAGGAGGCTATTGCTATAACCTGCAATGGCTTTGAAGATCATCAACCAGCCGCCTCATCGACCAGTGAGGAAGGAGTCGGGTCAGAGGGCAAACCCTGGGGAACCATTTATCCGCCGCCCAAGCCACCTGAATTGATTGTGATTGATGGACAGGGGTGTGATGGATGGAGTAAAGAAGAACCAGGGGGATTAAAGACGTGGAAGGCGAAGGAAGAAAGAATTAATGGGAGGGAGACGGAGAGACCCCCTGGAGCCAGAACCCATCAGAGCTACAATGCTCAGAGGATCACCGAAGAGGAGATACGGGGAAAAGAGCTGGAAATCATTAGGACCTACAACATTTACGGACGGGAGAGGAGATCAACAAATGGGGGAAGAGGAAGAAGTAAATGCACTGAGCAAATCTGCAGGAAGCTAACCCCACGGAAAGCACAACAGCGAATCCAGGGCAACTGGCATGAACAATTTAAGGCGAACAGGTATAACCTCAAATGGCCCCCAAGAGGAATACCGGCAAAAGGAAGGTTCAGAGAGGGGCAGACACAGACCCCATTAATGCTAAGGGCATTTATTGCTGAGGAGGTAAACGAGAAACACCTGAACAGAGAGTCCCTGGCCTATTTAAGGAGAACCCACGCCGGAGCAATTCACCATACCAGCTCGACAGTAACCAAAACCAAAATTGAAGATCCCTCTCCCCCGATTTCTACCAAAAAAACCCTACCCCCCTACCAAGAGATACACTCAAATTCACCCACCATGGAAATGCACTCAAGGAGCCTAAGAGGAGAGAAAAGCCACCTTGTGCTCAATGTCCGACCAACTGTGGTGGGAGCCAGAGGCAGCGGAATGGCGATGCTGCTGGGAAGGTGGGTCACTGACTTGAGCATCAACCTCCAAAAAGCAAGGAATGCGGCCATGCAAAAATGGAGAGCTTATGGGGAAGTCCAAGCTACCAAGGAAGCAGATAACCTGTTCGTGTACTCGTTCCAATCGGCAAAACAGCGAGATGCAGTTTACGACACTAGACCCTGGAACCTCAGCAACACGCTAATAGCTCTCAAGAAGTGGAATGGAGAACATAAGGC